GTATAAAGAGAAGAGGGAGAAGGGCACGTGTTTCGTTTCGTTTTTTCGATGGAATTTGTATATAGTACCTTTCTCTGGGCCGCACGAACGAAGGAAGTCGGCCGTCGTCTAGGAGCTCGATTAATTAGCGGCGAAAGTAAGTGAAATTGCGCGCTGTGCAAGCGCATCCCTGTACGAGTTCGGACGAGGAATCCTGCCACGAATCGTTGTTCCTTCACCGCCGCTACAAGAGCAGAAGGAATGCCTGACTGTTTTTTCTCGGCTAATCATAATCGTTTATGTGTGCCACGGGAAAAACGATGAAACGAGTACGATCCGCATTCCTCGCTCTGTTTAACGGCTTAGTTCCCAAGATGAAACTTTTTCGACTGATTTATGAATTCGGTAAACATTGGTTTACCAACGACACGGATGGAACGTCTTTCACAATTTTCTATTGCCATTATATTTTCCAACTTGTTAGTGAATGGGAGGGACTCGATGCTGATGAGAGAGACGAAAGGGTTAAACAGAAAGCGTACGTTTGTAAATCAAGACAACGTGTTTTCAGAATTCTCCGAGGGCCGGTGGAAACAGAACCAAGGGCAAATATGTGCCGAGCAATAAATCTGTGTCAACGTTGAACCATGCGTGTATCGTAGGTTGCTTGGTGTCATTGTTAAGACAAGGATCGCCTTTAAGCAGCAGGAAAATTATCTTCTTCAGGCAGAGAAACGGTTCCATGAGGAACCGGTAATGCATATCAAAAGCGATCCCTGTGATTAAACCGTGAATCGTCGTTTTTCTTACCTTTTTGCGACCAACGACCGTGAAACTTAGGCATCTATTAAGAATGAACAATGATATCATCGATCTAGACTCGTACACAGCATGGGATTCTTCCAAGAAAAATAAATGTCCTACGTTAAAACTGTTGCTCGTTAAAATACCGCGCGTTTTGAGGAAATTTAAGAAATCATTAATCAAGCTGGTAACGAAACAATGAGACGATTTTCGGAACGGTGTCGAGGGAATTGAGACGGCGAACGATTCGAATTTACAATTAGTACACGCAAAGGAACAACGAAGAGAACGCGATGCTCGTTCGTTCAACCGACCCATCTCACATGGCTGATCCGATTTGCAACGGCCGTGAACGTTAACAATAGCGATTAAAGAACCATCGATCAATCTGTCCGCCTACATTCGTTCAAAGCGAACACATTCTTCTCGGTGTTTCCACTTTCGATTCAACAACGCGCCGATAATGGAACAAATTATTCCTGATAAACGGGGAACTCTTCATCGCGGTACGATACGAGCAAACGAATTGAATTAACGAACACTGGTGTTTCATTCTTCCTTTTATCCTGTAACCAAGAACACGATAGCCAATGTGCAAAACACAGAGATACTCGACAGCGAGGGAAAACGCTGCGTTAAATCTACAACCGATTGATAAAACTGCGTTTAAATTGCAACAGGATTAATGCGTTTGTTTGTTAAAATCATGACGAGGATTTCTCTGGAATAAGAGAGAAACTCGACCAATTACCATGAGTGCTAATTTATAATAATTCTATCGCGATCGAATCGCGTGCAGACTTTCTACATTAAAGAAAATTTGTGTGTCAAACCTTTCGAACGGTATGAGATCATCTCGAGTCCGCATATTGTATACAATATTAGACCTCTTTAGTTTGCCTGGAAGAGCAGACGCGTATACCGGTCGATATTCTTCCTCCATATGTAATCAAAGCGGTCCGATCCATTGTCGAGAACGATAAAGGAAGGTAAAGAGTGTGGCGGCGTCGGTTGTTCAGGGAGAAACAAGAAAATCGAAATAGATCAGTGCACGCCCACGCGACGATGTTCCTTAGCGGCGCGGCGTTCGGGCACGATAAAACCGGGAAACGGTACGCGGGTTTCACGAGGTGTTCCAACCAGACGAGGACAGATAACGAGATACAGGGAGGAGAAGAAGAGGGTGGCAAGTCGTATTTATCACTGGAGGATCCCGAAGAGCGCACAATGCGAGGCGAAAGAGGTAACCGCTCAAGCGGTTCCGAGCCATGCAACGAGACGCGATGTAGTGCAGGTAGATTTATGGAAGGTGGGAGGGAAGACGGAACGAAAGAGAGAAGAAGAGAGAGAAAGAGAATGTGTTTGTGTCGCAGGTCAGCCGCAGTTCACGGTCACGGGGACCAACCACTGGACTAACCTAACGTAACCTGACTCGACGACCGCAAACTGAATTGCACCCCCTCTGGCCCCTCGACATCCCTTATTCCTCCTGTTTCTGACCGCCTACAGCTCCTTTCTTTCTCATCGCTCTTCCTCTCTTATACTCCAGTACAATTAGATGAAAATGATGCCTATTTCAAGAATGAATTTTCCTAAAACCTTATTGAGATTTACTTAAAATTTCAAACAAAAGTAATATTGAAAAAGCTATTTGTGAAGAAGTTAATATAAAATGTATAGTCATCTATAACAAGCTAATGCTCTACCTCACCCTTTCGTCAGGGTATAACAATCGTTTGCATAACGGCATAGTGGATCTTTCAGCGACCACATCAGAGTGATCCAACCCGACAGGTCGTAAATTGTATTGCACCCTTCCCTGTACGCTCCCTTCCATGCCTCTCTACGAAATTTATTAACAGGGTGTGCCTATAGGTGCACAGACCGGTCGGTCATCGGGGTGCCTCTTTTTCTTGATTGATTAAGCACGCCCAGGCATAGCCTATCGACACCGCGTTCACCAAGTGAACGGCCAACCCGTTCAACGGGAAAATTTAACAACTGGATCTATCGATAAATTAGACCCCCCAAGTACTTAAGTTCGTCGACGTTTAATTGACGCACATTAATTACGTGACTGGCGCGTGAAAAAGAACCTTAGCGCGGCTATGAGTCAACCATCGATTAAATTTGACGATGAAAACGACCCGTGAACAAATTCAACTTCGATGGAAAACCAATGAACCGGGCATCCATTCGATCGATTATGATACATCGATAGAAATCGACACCGTGGCCGGCACGAAACGGTATAAAAAGAACTGCTATGAGAGCTTGACGTCAATTATCCAATTACCCTGTTTGCATTATCTGTAGTCGCAGACTAATAATGGCATCGTGGGTTAAACCGAGTTTATTGCAAGTTTATTTTTAGCGCGACTACATTTTTTATTCATTTAAAGCAGAGTAATAGTTATTTAAATATTGCAGTATTTGAATTTGAATATTAATACAGTCGACGCTCTAAGTCACGTGGTTCATAGAATTCAATATGGCGGACGGATTTTGATCGACGATGTCGAACGCTGATTTTCATATTCTTTCGTTGCAAGATCCGAATTTGATTTTTGTATGTAGATATACAAAGAAGGATATAGTTATTTCACGGAACTACAGTTTTCCGGTTGGCTCGTTGCATAATCTATTCAATGGCTACTGCAATTACAGCGGTTATTTGACGCGAAGCGCGACTAGGTTCGTCTATAAAATTCTAACCTTGAGAATTACGACGCGGCTCGTACGTTTATCTATCCCTTGGTTCGCAGATAGAAACACGTCTCGAAGCGGTGATTTTGCCCCGTTTAAGACGCACATTTACATCGCATAACCTAAACTACATGCATATGGCGCCAAATTACGCCTGGGCGAAGCAGGGTATGCAACACTTACCGGCAAATTCCTAATGCCCAGCCGCACCTTGGAGTACTTCTTCATAAAGACTCGCCAAAGCACGTACGCCATGACGATTATCCAGCTTTTCGTTCGGCAATGGTTGTTTTCCAGTTTCTTCCCCTGTTTCTGTCACTTTTTTCACACAAACTTTAAAGGTTAATCATCAGCGTCCGGGTTCGCGTTCCACTGTCCATCCCGCGATCGTTCGATTATCGAAATTTCTCCGCATCTTGATTTCGAGCGATAAGTTGACTGAAGTTTCGCGAGTAAAAAATCGATATCGATAACGTCACTACTGTTTCCCGCGCAAATCACTGTTCACTCTGTGATAAATTGTAACCACAAACTTCATACCGTTCCAATAACGGCGGTATAAATAAATCACCATCCACTTTGCACGAAGCAACGCATACTTTTTTCACGTTCAAGTGTTTCCTTACGATTTCGCAATTTCATGCTCGAAACGCGTCTACGATTTGACCGTACAACACATTACATTAGAGACCGTTAATTCTGCAACCATCTCCAACACGTAAGGTAAGGCACTCACATTTGCAACGAATAGCGCGAAAGATGAATGGATGAGATCTGTAAATTAACACAAGAAGATAAAGCGTCTAAAGCTGATGATCTTCCAATGGGTGTGATTCGATCTGTTGCATAATTCATTATAATGTCCTGCTTGTAATTGCGTCCTGCCGTGCACGCCACCGATACTACCGACTGCTCACGGTATAACCAATAAATATCGAACTCGACGATCGTTCGACCGATCGATCGAAATCGCTATGACGTATACAAATAGCAGCACGGTCCAGCGTTCAACGTAAGAAAAAACGGGGTACGATCACGTGTTGGACGGTAAACTTATAATCGAACGTTTTTGTAACAAAGATGCATGCCTCCCCCCTCACGGAAATGATTCAACTACAAGCGGTGCAGCGAGAAATGTCGTCAGACCAGAATCCACGGAAGCTACTGTCATGATTTAATCGACGAACCGGTAAGATTTTCTGTCGTCATTGAATGATACGTACACCGATGAAAGAACATCTTCAGTCGAGGATCATTTCACACAGGAAACACGCGTATCTTTGATCGTGATCTCGAATGGAAAGGCACTTCTGATCACTGATACTTCCTCCAAGATTATGACTGCTGTTGATACGTCAAAATGCACGAGGATTTTGAACGAACGGCGCGCGTCGAAACACCGGTGCGCCTGACGGCACTCGCTGCCGAGATATAACTGACACGACACACGCAACTGCCTACTCTCGGCCACGAACCGTGGAACGATGAAACGGAACGTCCGGAACGCCGGAACTGCGGAACGATGTATACCTGGATCGCGTTTCAGCGCGACTTTAGGCGTGCCCCAACCACCCGACGCTACATTAAATGTGAATGAAGGGTGTGTTCTTCAGGTCTACGTCCCTTAAATTTTCAGTTTGATAAACCTTGGAATCTTATTTCTCACCATTTTAAATGCGATTTTAAAACTTGGTTTTCTTTCATCATAATGAGGGATAAAACAGAAACAAAAACAGAATTGTTTGTTTAATTACTTTTATACGCAATAAGATTTTAACCTCCTTAATTAGGTTAAAGGAAACGATAAAACTAATCAGGATAATTTGTCTGATATCTTTTACGACACGTGTGTGATATCAATCCATTTTGTAGGGAATCGATGGTGCTGATCATAAATAACATACTCAGCTGGAACGCAAAAGTTATTACCTTTTGTCACGCCAAATTTCTGGAGCGAAAGAAAACGATAGCTTGATCAACTCCGATAAAACGTCTTGTGCTCACTAGATGATAAATAATTAATTTTTTTTTAAATGTTTTTTATTATAGTTACGTTCATTAAATCAGAAAATTAATGATCCTCGTTGTTCTGAAAATAGATTCTTTGACATCGGTGTTGTTTTTACAACCCGTACCATTCCAACTGAAAGGCTAATTTCTTACCAGACGATCTTTGTTCCCCACCGTGATCGTAAACTGGTGACGCCAGTAGACATGGTAGAAAAAGAACAAAAAGAAACAGGGAAAAAACGTCGTTTAATAAGCAATATAACACCGCGATCGTAACGAAGGAAAGAGTTAAAACGAATCGGTACGTCTCAGGACGCAGCCAAAACAAACATAGCTAAACAAACAAAAGACTCGATACCCCCTGTTACACGTGCCCCCTTTTGTTTACGTTTGTTTGTTTTCACTTCACTGCTGCACATTACGCGACTATATTACCATCGGTACATGTTACATCCGTGATGTTTGATATATCCAACGATAAAACCTCTTTAAGGTTCTCTCGTTAAACGAAACCTAATTACTGTTGCAATTAGAACGAGTAAAAATACATACGCTATTGACTTTCGCAATAGCTATCTCGATTCTCGTTACAGTACCCGCCTTTTTCTTTTTTTTTTTTATGTTTGACGTTGATTCCGCGTGTCCCGCAGCATAAGTGACGTTAAAATGCGAACATTTCCGAGCACTAATGATACGTTTCACGAGACAGGAAAAAGAGAAAGATCCTCGATAAATTTTCGTGCCGTGGAACGGTTTCATGCTCGACCAGCCGTGAAAAAATTTGAAGAATATCGTAGAACGTGTAACACCGTAAATCTTAATAATTTCTTGAACGTCTTTAACAACTTTGCTGTTTAGATTCCAGGTACGCGTGAGATCGAGACGACTACCGCGGGATAAAGAGGAAAGAAGAAAAAAATAGAAAAACACCTGAGAGACAAACAGTGCATAAAAGATCGTCAAGTGTTTCTGGATGTACGAGACAACTCCAGCTCAACGACGCCATTTTCCGTTGAATGTTTAATATGTGAACGTACTGCCCTCGCGTGTCATGAATTCTCCTTTAAAACACGCGGTTACGTTTAATACGTACGAGGTTCGACATCGGCTACCCGATCCGCGACAAAAAGGGGGACACCTTTTAAATGAAGAAACGTACCCTGGCAAAGTGGTTTTCTTTCACGATTAGCGCCAGTGTCGCGGCACTTCCGTTGTGTCTCCGCCTCGCGCCGCATCCTATCGCCTTTTACTTCTTCCCCTCTTTAATATTCAGCCACCGTTCTCGTAACCAACGTTATGCCGCGCCACCGCCAGCCGACCGCACATACCTGTGTGCCGATGCGCGTCTCACTGTTAGAGGCACATGTTGTACGTATACGAGCTTGCATTCTCCACGAGACAATGGGTGTGCCTACCTCACGTGACGGGCACGTGAGCACCCTCGAAAAAGGCCCTTGGTTCCTCGCGTTCATTCATACCGGTTCGCCTGTTTCGTGGCCGACGCCTATGACCCTACACGCCGCGTCGAAAAGTCAAGAAGAATCGTACGTGTGCGAAAAGAATGGGCAAAATGCGGCGTTTACCACGACACCACGGTAAAATTGTTTTCGTGAATGTTGCAGGTGTACGGACAATTGCAGAATATAAATGATACGTCGTTGTAACAATGCCCTATGCGAGACAGCGTCAACCGGTCGCTAACAAGAGCATACTTCAACGGGACAGTAGCGTAGGAGCAAATCTAATGAACTTGTAAATGAAATAAGGCACGATGACTGAAGTGTATTTGAATACAGAGAGAGAAGAAACCGGAGAAGCAAGTGATGCCTGTATATCTCTCACCATCGCATCGGAGGGGCTGCCATCAATCCCTATTTCCTACTCCCTTTTACGTGTTACGTGAGTAGTCTCAGTAGAACACTCAAGGTAATTTACGGACCGAATACCCCTGACAAAAAACTCGCTGCACCCTAAATAGCGCGGCTCTAACCACTGAAACTTTAATGTTCAATCTTTTAATGGATAACCGACGGTTGTGTACCATCGTCGATTCATAGCGTTCCATCTTTCAAACGAGCGGAGCGTTCAAACTATTTCACGAGACAACTGGGAAATGTTACATTATCCGTGAATAAGCAAACGAGGGACCGATCAATAAAGCAAAGTGTAGAAAAATCGAGCAAATGAACGGCAATGTCAATGATTCCATGGCTATTCTTGGATCTCTTCCACACAGCACTTTCGTGCTTGGAATCGATAAAGGAGGTAACGTTTATTATTTCGCAAGCAACCCCTCCCGTGTGAACGCGCTCGACCCTCGCAAATCGTAATTGCCGGCCAACGAACAGGCATGTCTAGTTGGTCTATGAGATAGTTTGCCTCTGAGTCACTCCCCCGCGGTACGTTTAAACTTTGAACGCTTTCTGCATGCCGCGCACCACGCCGTGGCCGACGCGTTACGCTTTGTAATAATTGTAACGATTCTCAGCTCACCTATGAATCGACCGATGTGAATTAACCGTTCCGTTGAACGAAACCGAAATCGCTAACAACTCTTCATAATTCGTTTCTTTCATTATAGAATCGAAATCGAAGCGTGGTCAGTGTTTCCAGCGAATGTTTCGAATGCATTTTCTACACTTTCTTAGCTAACTAGCCGTTTTTCTTCGAGAAAGTTGTGCAAACTCATCTACGAAGATGGTAATCTTTGGAGGAGAGATTTAACGAGGTAGGCGAACAAGGAAGAACCTCGTAGCTCAATTGCTGCAATTTTTTAGAAATCTACGGTGCCGCACGTGATCTATAGATCAAACATAGATCACTCGAATTGCTTATACAGTTAACCTTAAAACCTACTATTATACGCTAACCGAATAATACAATCGCCTATAAAACACTAAGTGAATCTTCGCTTATAATTGCAGAGAACGATGGATCCTCGCCTCGGAGCTCGGATTGTCACCAGTGAAAGACACAGAAGCATTTCAACGAGAACAGTAGAAAAAAAAAAGAACAACGTCGGTCTCCTTTGATCAAGGGTGATTAAGGTTTGTGTGCCGCTAAACGAAACTATAAGTCGTTTGGGCATGCATCCTGGGACGCGTGGAAGGAAGCGCATGTAATTAGAGAGTAGATTAACGTGTCGCAAGTCGTACCTGTACATACGTACAAAGAACACTGTGCATGTATATTCGGTGCATATGTATCGCGCTGAAATCGTAACGTGCAACACGAATCGTGAATCACTGGTTTGGTCGTTGAGCAAGAGGGAGTGCTCGCCACGAATTAACGATAGATAATGCGAGAGATCGTATTATCACGATCCTTTGGGGACCCGACGGGGTTATCCGGGTTAATCGAAGAACCAGCCAGTGTAACGACGGCGATTATTATTCGATCTGGCGAAATTCGCCTACGTATCGATATTGAGGAGGCACTTTCGCGAGCAGAGTGGCCCTTTAGAAGCCGTTTATTAACCGGACCGGATTCCGTCCATTCGATCGAGAACGTTTCTCAAGCTGTCTGACACGGTCATTAGACTATCTAGATTAGTTGCAACTTTGATGCTCAATCGTTTTATTTTTCATATATAAATTTAATGCAACAGCGATGGGAAACGGTGTAGAGCAACTCGATAAAGTCCCCCGCGATCAATTCAGATTGAAAGTAGTAATGTGATCTTCAAGGAGTAATATCATCTACAATCTACAGGAACGTCTCGTACTTACAAGTTCTCACTCTCGCTTTCAAGCTCGAACTAAGAAGCAGATATCTTATCGGCAATGAAACTTCATTCTATTGTGGGTCGTAGAGAAAAGGGAATCGTAGAGGCTAATGAGAATGGCGCTACTTAACGGTTTATAGGTATGGAAAAATTGGACGTTCCGCGGATTTACGATTGCAGCCCCGGGGACTGAATTATGGCCAGCTCGTACCCCGCGCCGCGCCGCATTTGCAAACCCGTCGTACCGCACGTTACACGCCGGGCAGGTTTTGCACGTTACACTTTATATCCTGAACGCATGCCAGGACAGGTACTTACACGGTCAGCGTAAGGTTACACTGAAAATAACGATGAAACATTCAACGGGCCTGCAGCCCTCTTAACAATTAGCACGTACCGTTGATCACGAACCACGAACTGCCATAAATACGCTTGGAAACATTCGCAGTAATGAAATGAACGCTCAGAAGAGCGCTTCGTAAACGCACTGCAAACGCCTTTGTTTTAATTTCAAAGAAAAGATGCGAGGTTCTTAATTATACAAATATTAGACGATAATCGAATGTTGCATGTAGCGGGTGGATCGATGAAATTTTTCATGAATTTTAATTTAAATCTGACATAAATCGCATAGCAAATCATCCCAAATCGGTCACGCATAAGTTTCAAGGAAATTACTTTTTCCACCGCCTGCTGACGGCTGACGATAAGTCGGCCCATCGTGGCGGAGAGTCGAGGACGCGTCTTTTTCGACAGGGAATCGCCGATATTTCGCCAAGGATGCACTTAAACTGCGGCCAGCCACGTTTCGCTCGTTTTTTACAGCCGGCACTCTACGTCGAAGCAACATTTACGGCGCGTCTTTTTGTTGCTCGACGACGATACAGTCGGCGACGGTGAACTGCACATATACCCTGGACCGTGCGTTCAAAGCCTCCTCGAGCCTTTGTCCTGTTGCTCGCGCGGCCATTTTCATTCTCTTCGCTTTCTTTTCGGTGAATACCTACCAGCGGCGAAGTAGACGCGCGTTCGTTCGTTCGGTGTATAGTCGAAGTCGAGAACGATATGCCAAAAGGAAGAGAAGAAACGACACGAAACGAAAGAGGGACGGGAAGGAAGATGGCCAAGATGGTCGAGGAGGTGGAGTAGCAAGAGAAGAAGTACGCGAGGAAGAAGCTAAAGAGAAACGAGCAGAAAAGACACACGAGCGATGAGTCATGGTAAAAAGAGGAAAGCCGGTGGTCGACTACTCTGATTCGAACGATCGTGCCTCGGCATTTTCTGCTGCTTTTTGCCACCAACATATACCGTTTCTTTCGTCATTTTAATACGTGCAACATCGGCCACGATCGCGAACGGTCGATGTGCCGGTAACGCGAAAAACGAAAAAGCCGAACTGTACGATGGATGCGGTCAGTGACAAGCACGACCGAGCTCCTCTGATTGACGATCGGCCAACTGCTTTGATCTCCACGGCCAAGAAAATCTATGCTCTTACCTCGCGTTAGACCTGAATCCAGCCGATTTTTACACGTATCTCATCTTTACGGGATTGCCGACGATCGCGAGATGGATTATCCTATGCTTGGTCATCCTTCTTCGCGATAATCTAAAGCTAGTGCGTTTACGCGCGAGGACACGCGTCTGACAATCCTTAAACAACTACCGTTACAAATGTATCCACAAGGATGCTGATCATACTTTCTACGAATTAGATCACTCGATGCTCTCCTATGTAATCCTTTTATTAATTGGACCAAGGCAGCAGATCGCAGCACAGCGTTCAAAGAGTATCTCCTTTGAATCGCAAAGTTCATAAATATTCTTCAATTCAAAAGCCCCATTGACATCGTGTTTTCTCGTTGCGTAACCACCATGAACATCCAAGGACACGGGTTAACCCGTTTCAGTTGTTTGCTCTTGATGGATCTTCTCTGGAGGGAATTCAGAAACGCGTCTGACACAAATGTTACCAACGTTCAGATTACTCTGTATGGCGCCTGAGAGACTTTGGGCAACGACCTCTAACTAAAACGTAGTAATATATATTTGCTTAGAATTTTTACCACCGCTACTAATTTAGTAAAAATAGAACGTACCCCGTATCGATGAAACAGCCGGGAAATTTTTTAGTGAAGCGTTTGAAACGATAGATACAGAGTCGCCACGAACGTATTTGTTGTAATAATCAATGCAAACGGGCAAACGGTACGGTCGAGAAGGAAAAAGAAGAGGATGCGAGAGAACGTTGCTCCAGCAGCTCACCTTGAAGGAAGTCACCGTCGATTTTTTCAATTCGCACCTCCCGGGATATCGACAATGGGGGCGTAGTTTGAAAAGTTTCGCGTGGGTAACGGGGACGATGAAAATCCGTAACAGAGGAGGCGAACGGTGGCGCAACGTAGCGAAATTGAACGTCTGCGTCGTTTGCAAAACGACACCACGCCTTCGTCGCAAATTGGCGTACGCCTCTTTTTTAACCGAACCACGCGGCTCCGTTGTAATGTCCTGATAAAGATGTAACGTAACGAGCGATTATGGCGCTGCTCGTGGGTGCGATTATGTCCCTCGCAACCCGGCCACGAATTCATTTCGTCTCGTTACTCCGTGCCTCGGTTCTTATAAGGATCGAGCTGTCGAAAAGAAAACAATCCGAATCGCGACTCACGATTTCGCATTAATAATTCAAAGATTTACAACCGTCTATCAGATGTATATGTAGGTAACATTGAGACCTTCGTGTGTAAGCCACGCTCGTGCGTTATTTAAATGATAACAATAAATTATCAGAATTTTACATGAGCCAGGGATATCGATACGTATCGTCAGTGAGATGTAAGATTAAACGACAAGTTTTCTTCGAGTCTACTTACGGGTTCACGGGATATCGATGGCAAGGAACACAAAGACTAAATGAACTCAGAGCGGATGTGAGCCTCTCCATAATCGAACTTAGACAATAGGCATGACTACCACGCTCATCGACACGAGGAGCGTAGTAAAATATGCGGATATTTCTTCGAATAAGCCAAGGAGCCTAGCCCTGAAGAATCTTGCGCCGCATCGTATTTTCAATCGAACGGAGAAAGTGAATATCGTACGAAGGAAATGAATCGCAAAGTCGAAACGGTATCGCGTGTTTCTCGAATACCCTATCTTTCGTCTAAGAAGTTGTTAGCCTCCGCGTCAGTTGCAAACTCTATCTATTCTTGTGGAAGCTGAATGAATTTGATAGAGCGATGAAAGAGCATTGTTTCCGAATATAATACCCCGAAGGAAACGCGTGCTTTCAACAGCTGACGCGATCCTGCGTGCTTGCATTGCGTAATACGAATTACGTAATGACAATCGTGCCGATGACAGAACCTTGGATCAGCGTCATCGGCTTTGCTCTATGCTAAATATCGATCACCGTCCCGCGTGTGCGGTTATTATCACGTGTATCGTTCGTTGCGCGATTTCCCATTGTCTCTATTCACTTTGTTTCCTTTCTTCTTCTTCGTTCCTGGAAAGAAAAGCTCTCGTCACGGACTCGAAGAACGTTATGAAAGACCGTAAACTCTGTCGCCAGGCGTTGTGCAATAAAACTTGAGCATTCGCAACACTCTTCGTCCATGTAGTCGTTTGTTTATTTCCACCTTCGTGACGTCTACTACTGAAAACGAAAGATTTTATCTTTTGTTTAAGTTCCATTTCGTATTTAAGTTTTGAATCAATCAATTAATCCTGTTAGCTAGATATTATGCAGTGTTTAAATGTAATTGTACAAATACAATTTAATCCGATTTGTCAATTGCCACGCGTACACAGCTCCTTCATAAATTCAACTCAACCTCGCTATTACCGAGAGTCAAATATCTTGATCGCCGCCATCAATCTCTGTCACCATTGTCGAATTGACTCACTCCCTTTCTGTCACTCCTACTCAACCAGAAATACAATGCGTACATATAAAGTTGCTACACTGTAGTCTTTTTATTTGTAGCTAAAAATCAAGAAGAGAAGAAAACAATCGCGTCTAATGTATTTTATTATTTATTATGGAATCGCACGCAGAGTGTCGCAGAGTCCTCTTCCTCACGCGAAACAACGCTCGTAAAGAGATCTTGGAAATCATGTACTTGGCTAGACGCTGGCAATCCAGTCAGATTATCATTGGCAGATATCACGCAATAGTTGATGTCTTAATTAATAGAATTAATTAAAGAGCTTTTGCTCCAGACTCTAGAGATATCAATTTCACAGATAAGAAGATCCAAAATTTTCAAACTTAAAT